GGTTTTCTGGACAGGGATGTCCGAAGATATTGTCCTCCGGATCCTGACTGGAGGTCATCTCTGGAAAGGCGGGGATGGTGATCCCGATCCGGCATCCCTGAGATAATGTCCCCTCATACGTTTTCCCCTTAGCTTATCACCCTGACTTCCGTCCGTCTCCTCAATCAGCATGCCTCCTTTTCCTTTCTCTGGACGACATGTCTGGAAGGGCGTCGGCCCGTTACAGACGCTTCTTAACCTCAAAGGAGATTTTATATTTTTTTCCCTGATTTTATTGGTGGATCTATGACTAGCTAGATATACAGCGGGACTTTATTGAACACTTATGATTTGGGGGCTTTCATTTGTAAGGATGTAACTTTGCTTCGTTATGATACGCAGTGCTGATATTTGATGATAAAAAGCACGAAAATTTCAATTAAAATCATAAGAGCTCAAAAATGTAAAAAAGATGTAATTCTGATAGCGGAAAAAGGGGTTCTGAAAGGGTTAAAAGAAGAGGATTCGGAAAGAGATCGTGTCCAAATGATATTCAAATAATGCTTCAGTCATGAAACGGCGCCTGCGCACGAATTAAAGAGATTGTTGAAATCAGTCATATCACCGTTAAACGAAGGTGGATTCAACACTTCTTCAATTTTGAAGAAAATGGATTTTCAATATTGAGTCAACGTTGATGAGCAAATGTTGAAGTAACGTTTCAATGTTGGTTTTGAACTTTGAATTAATGCTGATATACCGTTGATGTCAACGATGAATCAAATGTTGCTGAAAATGAACTTTCAATATAGAATCAATGTTGACAGGCAACGTGGTTTTAACGTTAGCTGCGTTGACGAAATGACTTTGAATCCACGTTGATTCAACATGAGTGTACTACTTTGGGTATATCTGCAAATTCACTCTGTATCACAATATGCCAGGGATCAATCAAACGATAATTTTAATGTCTTTATTGAAGCATAGTCACATGAAGCAAATGGTCAGATATGAACCCAGATATAGAAAGATATGAATAGGTAGATATAAATAAATATAGATTGATACATATGAAGATGTATAGATAGCCAAAGAGTTAGATACGCCTGCGGGATACATTCGGTATTCATTGAATTTTAATTTCAATCAAGAGAGGTGTCACTTCAATGACCCTTGCTAGTGAATTTTAAAAATCATATATAGCTAGCAACATGGTAGATTTTACATAGACGACTCATGGGCGTTATGAGAAGACAAAGGGTGTGTCAGAGAAGGACTAAAATGCTTGACATTTGCAAAATAAAGTTCCAATATGTTCGTGTGACGAGCAAATTCTTATTGATCCATAACAGATAACTCTCCAAAACGTCAAGAATATTAGAAATCGATAAAGAAGGAAGAAATATCTGCAAAGAAGAAATTTTCTTGGGCTTCAAATTTGTCCGTCTTTTCTGACACACCCTGTTGATGATATGTGGAGAATTGCCACCCTCCCCTCTTCTCTGAAAAAGCCTAGACTGAGTCTTTCCCCCTTCCCCCCCATCTGCAAGTTCAAGGCTTCGGCCTCAGATAAACTTCTCTTGTGAGCGTGCTTCGGATCGTCGGCATTTGCTTCTTCTCATTATTGTGCGGTTCTTTGTGCTGGGTTTTGAACTGAAAGGCTACGATCTGTGCCACCATGGTGAGCATCTTCACAACGTCCATGTCCTGGGAATGCTTCTCCATCACCTTGCAGAGGGTGTAGATGAAATACGACCCCAATTTCTTGCTTTTCCACGCCACCTGATCTGATTGTTCAGACGAAGTGGGTTCTTGTCAGTTTAGGTTAAGTGAAAACACCACCGTTACAAAATGTCTACCTATATCCGCTGGGGCTGAGCGGCTGGTGGATGATCCTCTAGCGAGTGGACTTCCGCCTAGAGGGACATCCACCATGTCCCAATTCCACCCGCGGGCTAGATTTCTCCCTAGCGAAGTCCGTATGGTATTGGGACAACTGACCTTCGTATGTGGCATGGGCGACTAGGATGTTCGCGTGTGTGGGGAGGTGATATTCCACATCATCGTAGGTATCGTCATCGCCATCGTGCACATCATCGTCGTTAGCGTCTCCATCAGGCTGTACGCTGCTCTCCTTTCCCTTCAGTCCGCTGTCGCGAAGTGTTCCCCTGCAAGCCTTCACAAGCGTCGTTCCAACAAGAACAATGTAAAGAGTAAAGACAGTGAAGTACCTGAAGAGACACTTTCGAACGTTTGGCGAGACACTACAGTTCTAATGCCCAATTATTATTCCGTAAATAACAACATGGAAATTAAAATTTCTTTTGGAGGGCGGCAGATACTACCGAAGATCACATCAATCATATCCAAATACACTTTCGGTGCATATGGTATGCAACCGAAGTTTCTGAGACCTGCCAAAAAAATTTAGCTTAGGGACACGAAATTAGAGTGACTTGCTCTTGTATACTTTCCATATTTTATTGCAAAACATTATTTTAAACGTCGAAAATTTCAAAGGACGTTAAAAGTCCATAATCGTCTCGTGGTAGTTAGGTATGAACGTTGACTTTTGTATTAAGTGCTAATGAGACTCAATATTTTGCACTTTCACTTCACGTTGCCATAGGCGTCGAATTTCACTTTTTAAACGATATATCCCTCAATAGGGTATAAATGGGTCGCATTTTATACGTCACTGCATTACAATAACATACCTGGATGAAGAAGAGTTTCGGTTTCCCGAATAGAGCTTCGCATTTGTAGAATTGACTCCAGAGTTTCTCTTCTTCGAATTCGTCATCCTTGACGTACAGGTAGTCTTTCCTCCCGTGAGAGAGGAAGAACACAACGAGGCATTCCAGATTCTTGAGTTCTTCCGATACAGCAACTGTCGGAAGTTATCACACACCGTTTTCCCTTTTTTCGGAAGGGAACTAAAACATTTTTTTCAAAAACTGATGTATGAAAATAAAATAAATTCTTGTTTTGGCAGATGTGGTCGAGCTGGCTGTGTTTTTGGTGTGAACAACACATTAACAGTCCGAAAATAAGAAGGAATATCATGTCATAGCAACTTAATGCAATATGAAACCCCATGCTATCCTTAAATTTAAAAACACAAAAAAACAGCTTTAACGGGTCAGATGAAATGAAACGCCTAAAAGGCACATTCCGAAAAAAGTTAACATTGGGTGCAGTTCCTTTGAGAGCGTCAATTCCTTCCATCCTGATTGAACACATTGCGAAACCAATGTAACCATCAGCAGTTAATTATCTTCTTCGCATTGAACGCGTAGCCTCCCATCTGTGATGAATACGTTTGGAAGTCGTGGAAGCTACAGTATATTCGCTTTGAATCTCTAGAAAAATGACTCTAACCTTGCCTGGGGATAACAGGCAATACTGGGCAAATTACTTCATACGAAGTGAACCCTAATCTGAATACCGGTTTCTTGAAGTATATCCATCCATCTATTCCATACTACTGTATATTTGAATACGATGAGGAGATTCATGGCAAGTGTAGCCTCTGACCGGTAAAGCGTTTGCCCTTTAAGGACACAAGCTAGGTAGCCCCTAGGCCTAAATGCCTTTCCTTTTCTGGATTATAGGGTTGGTAGCCGAAAGGCCTACGAGGCTTTTCCATTCCATGTCATAGGCTAGGTGCGTTTCGTAATTCGTCCTGGCAATTGATTTTGCTTACAAGCCTGTGCCTTTGCAGGATGTAAGTTTGTTGGGGTGTGCTAAACAGCTTAACAATATGTGATGTGATGCGCCCGCGTAAGAGAAGCGGCGAGGCTGCGTAGGTCTGCACTGACCTATGAGCCAATTGAAGTCAGTAATGCCGAGAGGAGAGGTGCATTAATTGCAGTGCAATATCAGACTGTTAACTCTGCGCGGTGAGCAGCGCGTGTACGCAGCTAACCTTTAACCCTACTCGAGGTGCGTTGGCTATGACCCTCGACGTCATTCCAGCCGTTTCGCATGATCGCGACCCTATGCATGTTGAATGCTTTCTTGGGCACTGCCTGGCATTTCATTTCGAAGCGGAGAAAGGTAAACTTCGGCAAGGTTATTGTCATGATCATGTTACGGTGTTCCATTCGACCCCATTGGAGTTTCCACTGATGAAAACGCTAGCAATTTTCGCGAGTTTGACAGGACAACAGCACAAACGCGTCCGCTTCCTTTCGGTGCAAAAGTTGTTGACATTATCGATAATTTTCCTTACTGCTTCTAAAATCCCGATGAGGTCTACTGGGCGATCCATATGACCTCATCGTGGGTATACCAGGCGATTATATTGCAGATAATAAATTGAACGCGCTGTTTAGGCAACGGCATAGGGTCTGCGATGCCGAAGTGAGAAGCAAACTCACTCATTGTGTCCCAGGAGTAAGCACTCCAGTTTGGTCAATGAGGACGTGTCGTTCCGATTGGAAGGCGATTTGGGCTCACATCACAGTACCAAAATTGTTAAGAACCATCATGGTGGTTATGACACTGATTCGGCAGGCCACCTTTCCGTTTGAATTCTTCAACAATCTCAATATTCAGGGTCTTTTTCCGGACGGCCTAATGCTAACAATTTGATATATCCTGATGCGTATGCGGAAGCGTGTGATTGGAAACGACCTTTGCAACGACACGCCTATGATCGTGAGAAACCTGATTGCAAATGTCTTAATACTAGGGGAGTTTAAATTAAAGGGGGTAATTGCTGTTACTCTTAGTCTAAGAGAGGGGACTAAAAGTCCCCATTTCATTCGAACACCCATAGCAGTTTGAAGTGATGACGGGTGCGCTTCGTGGCTGTGTTCACTTGCTGCCTAGAGTTTTACAGGACACGTCAACCCAAGTCACCATACCGTTCCCTCTTTGCCAACGTCAATTCCCTATCGAGCTTACCTGGGGTATAACTATAAACAAATTTCAGGGACCGACATTTGATCAAGTCGGATTACTACTTACGGAGCAAGTATCCATGCTTGGCATTTCTACGTTGCCTGCTCGCGAGTTCCGACAGAGTATTCGCAGAAGATTCAGCCTCTCCATGGACCAAACCAGGGGAAAACTGATGCTGCCACCGTTAACGATGATGTGGTCCTAAAAGAAGCACTTCTTTTGTTTGTCAAGTCCGTTCGTCGGGACGATTTTCGTACATTATGATATGAACTTTCCTCTTCGTTCCCAAGCGTTTCCCGTTTCCTGGTATGCCATGGTTTTTTGCTTTATTCATATTGAACTAATTTTTTGTAATTTTTGCATAGTGGCAGATGTACCATGTGGCAAAGTTTGGCAGCAGGTACCAGGCTGAGACTGCTCTTAGTTGATCAGCTGTGTCAAAAAGTATTTTTACGGGTATATTTGAATACGCTAAGTAGTTTCGTGGTAGGTGTAGCCTCTGGCCTACACAGCTTTTGCTCATCCACTATATAGGCTAGGTAACCGGATGGGCCTGCAAGCCTTCGCCTTTTCATGTCATCGGCTAGGAACGTTTCTGGATTCGCCCGTGCAGCTGTTAGACCTTCAAGCGTGTGCCTTTCCAGGATCTTGGCAGTGGGGGATGGTTTAAACAGATTGTCACATTGGGTACAAGACAATTTACTCCGTCGATTCGCCGCTCTGACCTAAGCCTCAGTGACCTTAGCCTAAAGCTCGATGCTGATGAGGCTATGACTCGCGAAAGGACTCAAATACGGAGCTCTCCGAGAGCGGTAAGCGAAGTGTTAAGAAAATGGGATGCGATGCGCTCGTGGTAGAGGAGCGGCAAGGCTACGAAGGTCTGCACTGACAAGTGAGCCACGTGAAGACGTTGATTGTCGGAGAAGACATGCACCAATTGTAGAGCAACATGAGACTGTTAACGTTGCGCGGAGAGCAGTGCGTGTTAGCGTCGAACCTTTAACCCACACTCTGGCTGCGTTGGCTGGGACGCCCAACGTCATTCCAGCCGTTCCGCACGATCCCTAAGAAAGCTGAGAACTATTTAGAGCACTGCTTGGTTTTGCCTTACTCCGCTTCGAAGTGAAGACTTCGACAAGGTTGTTGTCACGATCATGTTACGATGTTCCATCGATCCCATTGCAGTTTCGGCCAGAGTTGACAACGTTGTTGATGGGGGAAGATGGAAACGATCGCAATTTTTGTGAGTCTATCAGGCAGTGTAACAGCGCAAACGCGTTTGCTTCCTTTTGGTGGAACGATTGTTGACACCACCGGAAACGGTCCTTACTGCTTCCAAGCATCCAGCGAAGTCTATCATTTCACTATGACCAGTCTACATCCATTCGATAATGTCTCTCCTCCCCTAAATCAAAATCAATAATTATGGTATACTCAACTCTTCGTTTATGATACGGATGAAGTGGTTCAAATGCAACAGCGCATGACAATTTGGAACGGGAAGTGCGTCGCTGTTTGCTATCGATGGAGCAAGTGGCACTGACAATTCCTGTACACTATATGGATTCAAATACTAAACGTGTCATTCATCGCGCAAAAATCAGGCGATGATTCTAGCTACCGACGCCATCATTTGAGATGAAGCGCTGATAGCGCCCGCTGAAGTTCAGGGAACGCGGGCGGCGAGACTCGATGGATGATGACCGAATCCGTGAGTAAGTAATTGTGCTTAGTGGTGACATTCGCCGTGTGTTGCTAGTTGTCCGTAAAGCATCTCGTGGATGAATCATTTAGACTTGCGTCAAAATGAGCCCGTTGTGGTCATCGTTCCTAACGATTCGTTTGACAGAAAACAAGCGCGACGCTGCAAACGGAATTTGATTCATTCAATTTTTGTAGGATGCAGTGAAATATTTCCACGAATACAGGAGGCGATCGACCTAAGCTCTCCGTGCGTTTACCATGCGGTTGTATCTCCGATAGCTCTTTGGGCAACGGCATGGGGTCTGCGATGCCGAAGTGAGAAACAAACGCGTCTATTCTGTGTCCCAAGAGTGAGCACTCCAATTAGGTCAATGAAGATGTGCCGTGTCAGTTGGACGTGCCGTCTCTGCACACATTTCATGGATATTTATTTAAATGGATGTTCACTTGCAAGGCCTATCCATGTTCATGATCGCCAAAAACCCGGTGTCGTCCACAAACTGAGTCCATGAATGTCCACGAACTGGAACTAGGTCGTCCACAAATACGAACCGTATGAAAATCCACACAGTCATTAAAGTACCTACTCTTGGAAAAGTTTGCAATCAATACTCAATTTTAGAGTATGGATACATAACAAGGACTCATGACCTCATATTGGAACCAAACGCGCTGTTTCCCGGTAAGGGTAACGACCGTTGTACAATTTCTAAGAACTAAATTTCCTTTACAATACCATTTAAGATTCATACATTCACCAATTACCTTCCGTTCTTCTTCCACTGGTCGGTCATTCCCTCCCTCCTTCATTCCACTATCACCGACCCACTGCGACTACTTCTAGATTTTCGCGATACTCGCTCAAATAGACAAAATCTGATGAATTAATGAAGGGCATGTGGAGATTCTAAATCCGAATGCGTTTCAATCCTTCAACAACGAAACGAAATGAGTCTTCTCCCTTATAGGCTTTACGGGCTCTATGTATAGAATAAAAGACCCATTGATGGTGCTCAGGCCACTTAAGGAAATCTACTTACTTGAATCCAGTTCTTTAATTATTGCGGACCTCGTCAGGTCTGGGTGTTCCTTGACGTGGAATCCCCGTTTTGTGAAGATGCTTCTCAAATTCTCCACATCCTTCTTCACCTCCTCGCGACGCTCCAGTCCTAGTTTGGCTTCGAAATTTTCAAAGTAGAATATGACTGCCCATCCGTGGATTTTCCTCTCCATTGGATAGCAATCCAGTTTGTGTGGTATTACGGGTACCCATGGTTCCCTATTGCGAGCGGTGAGTGAAAAGACACGATTAAGGTTCGTAGTTTCCCTGAAGCACGTCTGTAGCGGCTTTAAATAAGGATTCCCTTGAAAACGTAATCATTACTTTTTAATACGAGAAAATACTAATTATATTATGCGTTATATGTCCATGAAGGCGCATCTCAGATACAATTACAGCTCTTGATGGCCATCTAGGCGAGGGACCCAGACAATAGGCGCAGCAGGATATTTTCAAATAGCAAATTCTCAAATGGCCTTTTGCCTTGATTCATCCTCGATTTAATGTTGCTGGAAAATAATTAAATACTTAGGGACTGCATTATACCACACTTATGACCTTGGAATCCAAGGAGAAATGTATGTTTTTGTCAAATGTTGAATGTTCACCAAGGATGATCAGGTTTGAACACAATTCGAATGGGGCTACACTGGATTCTCATTCCATATTAATCTTCTCTGGAATTTTCTGAATTTGAAATCGAGTAGGGTATCATACCTGGTGAAAGTGAGATTAATTATTTGTCGATTGTACTTCGCTGACATTGCATGCAAATCTTTGAATTCCTTCTCTCTTGTTTTCCAGACTATATATCCATTGGAATTTTTGGCCTCAGGGGAACTTTTTTGCATTGAGAATTTGCATAATTTTAATTTATTTATTATTTAATATTTAATAAATTTAATTTCCTGTCTCAGTGTTTACCCTTTACAAAATTGTTTTGGGTTTAATCGTCCTTGACGCTAGAAATCCATGATGAGACAAAAACTTGCAATTAACTCAAGAAACTCTTTCGGAGGAAAATGTTGTAGAAGAAAACCCCCGAAAATTTCCTCATGGAGTAAAATTATTTCTAGCGTAAAATGAATGGTTGGGAGAGAGAAAATATTCAAAAGTAAAAATAATAATCCTAGAGGAATTATTAATAGTAAACTTAATAATTTTTTATCGCGCAGACGATAAATACTTGACCAACGTACGACTACGATTGATACTTAAACTCAATCCCTCAATGACATACGAGAGGAACAGTGCTGGAATTCGGTGACACATGTGCTGCTGTTGAAATTGTATAGAAGGAGGTCTATAAAGTAAGCAATCAGCAACTACGACTTTTCCTATTCGAAACTAGTCGCCCTTGAATTAAATAATGTAGAACATGTGGGTCATATTTCGCAAGGAACAGGAAGCTAAATGTCTGATTATGATGTACTAAGCTCCGCGATTGGAAGCAATATTAAAGCCTCAATTTGTATGTTCATTATTCATTCATTCAAATAAATTTTTTTTTTTAATGTGATCATATCCCTTCATTTTTTTGTTGCAGTTAGTCCACGAAGCTTAAATACTGAAATAATGAAGTAAAGCAAATAATAAATTATAGAGACGTTCTCAATGTGAATCAGACAGATCAATCCTTCCCAGAGGTAGATGACCTGGGACATCTTTCTTCGCTTCTGATATGGAGAAGTGATTACCTTTCCCATGAGGCTATTTTGACTAACTATTTTTTACTATTTTTGACGATTTTGACTATGGTTTAATATTTTTTTTACTATTTTCACTATTGTTACCTATTATTAAATTGTAAATATTAACTATTGCTAACAATCTATCATGAACTAATTATTGTTAAATAACTATTTTCCCAAAATGTCACTTCAAAATCGGCACATGAAGTAATCTGATGTTTGATGACTACCAAACTCGATTTTACTTGTTTGGATATATTTAATGGTCCCGCGTGTTGGCGGACACCATTTTAAACTTTTACATTAAAAAATCAAGTCTTTCGTAAAAGCAAATGAATTTTTATTTATTTATGGCAGATTGGGACCACGAAATAAAACTTTACCCGATATTGTTAGATGCGGATTTTCCGGCTGTTCCGGTTTTGGAGGACGAGGACCCCTCATGCCCGAAAGGACTGGAGCAAAATCATCATTAAGCTGCATGTTGTGAAGTAAGTTGAAGTTGGGATGTCTATAGATGCAACTTACCCGGTGTCAGGCTCGTCGGAGATTGCTGGATTGGAGCTAAGATTTGCTGCCCCATCTGTTGAAGGAGACAATGGCGCTCCGTCTCCGCTGTGTCCAGTTTCCTTTTCATGGATCATATCGCTTGGAACTCGCCTTGAAACGAGGCTGACTTTGGTGAAGAGTGTCACGTATTGGAAAGGGGACGATCTCTAATCAATACACGACTGTGGGATTATTAGGTAATCTCGGGTTCGGTACAGCAAACTCAGGAAAGAAAATCCACCATCGGAATTTCTTAATAATTACACATTTATATCAATACTCAAAGGTTTAAAAATAAAAAGGATGATGAAATAATATATTGGAGGGACAAAGACACAACACCAGAAACACCAGAAAAACGCCTCACAGGCAACTCTCTATTTGATCCCCGCCCCACCCCACAAGCTGCTCCTCGCTCTTACTCTCGCTATTCCTCTCTCTTCTCTCCTCTATTCCATCTCAAAATCCCCTGTAATCTCCTTCGACTCCTCCTTTTTCCCCGGGTCTTCCCGGATGAGGCCGATAAGGTTTTCCGTTCCAGATTATTAGTCCGGATGTCTCATCCTGGGGCATTATCGGTCAACAAGGTCAGGATATCCGTCTCCGGAGAAGGGCTGCCATTCCAGATTATTAATCAGGGCGTCTCGCCCTTGGACATTATCGGTCATGAAGGGGTGTGCTGTTCAGGATATCCGTTCCTGGAGAAGGGCTTCTTTTATCTTTCTATTACATCCTGCGTCTTGCATCGGGTCCCTAGGTACGACCTTCTTAATGAGCTTTTCAATATGCTTCAAGAGCGTGAACAAAGGCGGAAACGTTCACAAGATTAGATATATTCATATATATATATGAATAGATATATGAATCACTTTTGAAGAGCCGGAGAGAGGATAAGCGCTCCGATAAGTCGCAATCATGGGTCTTCGGAATAAGCGCGAGCTGGAATACCGCCGACCGGAACATTGAAAAAGAATGATCCCAAAGAGACTTCATGGATGAAAGTAAACCGATCGATGCCAATTTGAATAACGCTGAACGTCAGAGCGACAAAGTACCGTCGACCCAGAATTATGTCGAATATAGAAGGAGCTTCTTACTTCCTAATGCGTAGAACGAATGTTCTAAATCAACCGCTCTGAAAATTCTTGCTCTTCTTCTCCAGTTCTCTTGTTCGTTTTCAGTTGGATAGTTCTGAAATGCTGCAACAGCGAGTTACGCTTCATGCTTGCATCGTTCCAGTCCGATATGCAAATCGAATCACAGCAAAAGTTGACAGAAATCTCCACCAACCACCATCACTTTACTTCCAATGGCGCTTTACAAGACATCATCATTATTATCATCGATTCATTTTCCATTAAGGAATTTTGGGGTACGGTGACCGGCAGTCAGCGATGGAAGCGGAAATACTATAATAAGGAGTCAAAAAAAAATAAAATAAAATACGGGGGGGAGGGGGTTGGGGAAGCAAGGAAATGAAATTCAGCCCCCCAAGATCCACTGCGTCGAGGAGTTTAGAGTTCAACTCTCAATCTGCCGGCGCCTACGATTCTCCCGGAGAATGCATTGAACAGTAGGTATTGTACTTTTTTGCTACCACTCCGTTATCGCTTTTGGTACCCCGCAGTAAGTTGTGGATTTTTTTATACATGCATATTGTTTTTGGCGTATTATTTTCAGCGTCTCACAGTCTTTGCAGGCGCATTTCCTATGTCTCTCCAGCTGATCCGAAAGGGTCTTCGCGAGTTTTGGACCGCATATATCACTGGAAAACTGTGCCAGAGCTGAAGCTATCTTGCAAATTCTATCTTGCATGGAAGCTATCTTGCATTCAATGATTTCAAGTGAAGGATTAAACTTAAAAATATATAATTTTTAGAGTTTCTTCCAATGACATGAGAGGCAATAGCAAACACAGAAAATTGGAGGTACATGCGTTCTACAAAAGAGCAAAATAAGAAAAAATTCAAAATTAAAAACCCTACGAATCACCTTAAAAATAACGCCAGACATTAAACGGTCAATCTGTTAAGCAACCATGATATGGCGGTTGTGGCACAAATAGGCTAAGATGGGTAAAAAAATATTTATTTAACGCAAATCGGGAAAAGAATATTATATAGGAAATAATCAATGTTTCCCCATTAGGAACCATACCAATCTAGTTCAAAATCTCACCCGACATAACCCGATCATTCTGTTACGCAACCATGATGCAGCGGTTGCGGCGCAAATAGGTTTAGATGGGTAAGACAATATTCATGTAACGCAAATAGGAAAAAAATTTTTTAAAAGGAATGATCAATATTTATCCGTTAGGAACCCCACCAATCTCGTTCAAAATCCCACCCGACATAACCCGATCATTCTCTTACGCAACCATCGTTATATCCAGGAATATCAAAGACGGACGAAGTACTGACGGCGAAAAATAAACGGACTTCCAAGATATTCGGTCAGCATTACGGGATCAGACACAAATGCCATCCATGATTAAAATTCGATGATCAGGTGAACCTGAAAATAGAAAAAGGAAATGTATATATATATATATATATATAAGGAAGTGGGTGATCCCGTGTCAGTCATGAAGTAAAAGGTTGTTGAGAAGCACGAAATGACTAACTCAAAACAGGATGGAATAAAATGTTCATTCCCCGACGTTTCGACATTTTCATGCCTTTCTCAAGGGGAAATAGGCTCACGAGGTACATTCTTGACCCTTAACGAAGAAATTGAAAGAAAATATAGTGGGCTAAGTAAGAGATGTCCTTGTTTAGCCCTAATGTGTGGGTTCTCCATTTGACGATTCTCTTGAGTTCTTCCAGCCTTCTTTGTTTAGTATCCATGAGGTCTCCAGCAAGGATATCGACCATCATGTCATCAATGGAGTGAGATGTTTGACTGAAATGTTCCGCCACAGGTAGGTTGGAAATCCCCCGTCGAACACTACTCTTGTGGTTGTTGAAGCGGAGACGGAAAGATGTTTCCTGATATCGACCATCATGTCATCAATGGAGTGAGATGTTTGACTGAAATGTTCCGCCACAGGTAGGTTGGAAATCCCCCGTCGAACACTACTCTTGTGGTTGTTGAAGCGGAGACGGAAAGATGTTTCCGTCTCCCCAATGTATCTTTTGTTGCATCGTTTGCAAGCTATGGAGTAGATGACGTGAGAAGAGTCACAATCATACTTCCCTGACGTGGATAGGAAGTGTCGGCACACCTTACATCTCGGTTTCTTGCACGGAGCTCCGCAATTCCTTGGGGAGGTCGTTGATGGAGAAGGAAAAGACGCTCTGACTAGAAGAGCTTTCAAATTCGGAGGTTGTCGATAGGTGATCAGAGGAGGGTTTGGAAATATCAGCTTTTGATTCTGATCTTGCTGCAGGATATGGAGGTGGCGTGTTAAAATCTTGCCAACGAAAAGTAGAGAAGGGTGGAACGTCAAAACGCATGGTATGCGTTCCATATTATGGTCTTCATGGTGGAAGAGCTCTTCCCGAGAAAAGTTGTCAGCCTTCGAAAAAGCCCTCTGAATGACATGTAGGGGAAACCCTCGAGATTGAAGAGATCTAGATAAATTCCCCAAATTACCCAGGTATGTTCTCCTTTCCTTACAGAGTTTCTTCAGCCTGAGTGCTTGGGCATATGGGATAGAGCTTCTCAGATGATGGGGATGGGAACTCTGATAGTGTAGAAGTGCCCCTGCGTCAGTAGGTTTTTTGAAAAGGTCAGTCGAGAGCCTGCCATGACGAATTTCTATGAGAATGTCCAGAAAAGGTATATTTCTCTGGGAGCTTTGAAAACAGAACTTGATAGTTGGATGGAAGGAGTTCGCCAAGTCTATGAAATCAGTCAAGGCTGGAGTACCAGTAGTCCAAATCAGGAACAGGTCATCGATGTACCTCTTGTAGGTGAAGGGCAGTGAAGGAATGCTTGTCAAGAGGCGCTGCTCCAAATTTTGCATGAAAATTATGGCAAAAGATGGAGCCATACGGGTGCCCATGGCGGTGCCTTGGATTTGCAGGAAATGTTGCCCATTGAAGATAAAGTTGTTATGTGTGAGGATGAAACGCATGATATCCACAATAACGTCAACATCCTCAGAGCAGAATCGATGTGTTTCCAGGAAGTGTCGTGTGGCAAGGACGCCCTCTTCAGTTGGGATATTGGTGTACAATGATGTCACATCCTGGCCTGGTTTTTTTTTTTCAAGGTCGTCCGGCGGACATGCGATGAGAGTGGGAAAAAACACAGGTGCCGGGGAAAACATTGCGAAATTTCCTGAGAATATACGCCATAACAATTCTTGGAAATACATAAAAGATAAATAAAAAATCGTGCGAATTTATTTCATTATTTATTTACAACATTTGGGATATTCACCGACTATAAAAAATTTTTCCGGAGTTCATCCGACGGATGGGAATCACGCGTTGCGTGAGGATTTCCATCGGATAATCTCAGGCGGATATCCAGCTGACGTACAAGATCATCCCTTGTTGCCTCGGGTCGCTCGTGAAATAAATTTATCATATTCTGCGACGAAGTTGGCAACACTGCCTGCAAAACCGTAATTTAAACGACCTTGAAAAAAATTGGTTCCTGCAGCCATTACGAATAAATACGTGCTCAAGTTTCAGCACCATGAATTGCAAGCAACTCAAGTCCGAAATGTTAATGCGTCATCATTGATGATGCATTAATGGCTTCCCATCGCCGAATTTAGCGAATTTAGCACGAGCCAAAAACGTTGCCTGCTTTGGGGGAAAAATTGCGAATGGGGAATACAACTCCAATGGCCATATTTCCCCCAAGTTACCATATATATTTTATCTCAACGGTCTTCTGAGGTGGTGTGCCAGCCAGCGTGCGGATCGAGATGAAGATTAAGAAAAAGATTAGGAGAATGATCCGAGGGTAGCCAGGGAAAGGCTTCCGTGGGGAACGGTGCTGTCGGCTAGAAGAGTTGGTTGGGAGACAGTTGGGGAAAAGGAACCCTTTTGAAGGGGAACCCTTTTTTTCGGGTCAGGAACAGGTAACTTAAAGGACCAGCTTCTTTATTATTAACTATGGGTGAGATGCGACAAAAACGTAGGAAATATGTATTTTACATAATAAATGGCGTAAATGTTAAATAGGAAAAACGGAACAGCTGGATTACTTTATTTTGCCGACGAGTTTCCACGACCCGAACACGAAAAACATGCTGATGGAGAAGAAAACAACGACGAAGAATTAATCGGGGACAAACCGCAGCAGGAAAGGAAGAAGAAAAAAATGGAATCTCTTCTCCGGCGACTCGAGCAACAAACTCCACGTGAAGTCCCTTCTTAATATTTAAATTTAATCATTTAATATTTTCTAATGATGATCTCTCTCGGGAGAAAAAAAAACGCTGCTTCGCGGCGGACGCAACGCGACCCGAGAAATATGGGATCGGGATGGTCAAACTTCGTCAACTTGCAAACTTACATGCAGTGAGTTGACGGCAATCTTCACGTGGCCGAGTGCCCCAAGACACACACGACTCGGCATGTGCCAAGCGCAAAAAAACTGCAATTTCGCATGAGGACCCGCATCCCCGACGGAATCGGCATCTGGCACGTTCCTACGTGGAATCCAAGCTGCACTCATCTGAGTCGTCTCGTTGAGATTTATTGGAATCGCTTGGTGCTCGAGAGCGATCGCATTTCGTTTCCATCACCCTGCCTCGCGTGTGAGACGTCGAACTCCGTCGAACCGATGCCTCGGTTATCTCGGCCTAGAGCTCGACGGCACTACAAGGCTAACACTTTTTTGGCCATAGGCTAGCCGAAAGGACTGGAAGGATGCCCGCGAGCGGCACGCTTAGCGTTTAACCACCCGCATCCGGTGCCAGTTCGACCCGTCTGACTTGGAATTGTAGGATCTGCTGACCTGATGCACGACGCCTCCAAGCCTATGCCCAGTCCTTCCGCCTAGGCCCTAGGCCAAGCGGAAGGACAAGACGTTCTCGTGTAGCCCGATCGCTTCCACTTATGTCCTGGGACGCATGCCCATGTCCTTCCCCGTGGTCGATATGGGAAGGGGACTGTAGGCCACGCGCGTCAGACGTCTAGCATGAAAGAGATTAAAGACTGAACGATAAAGCCAGGAAATGCCAATGAGCTAATTTGCGGTATCCCTACAATGCAGCAACGCTAATGTCCGTGAAAAGTTTAGGCGCCTATTCGACGAGTGTTAATGCTAACAGTGATAGCATGTTCGGCCCATCATCTTTCAGACTCGCTATCTAATGATATAAATGGAGGTAAATACCAGGTCTGATCAAAAAGTTCTAAGACTTAATTTTTTATGACGCTGTGGTGACTCCTTCTGACTGCATCCTTTTAAGTAGTCCTCTTCGGCATCTACACAAATTTTCCGGAGTTTCTTCAGCCGCTGGAAGCATTGCCGACACTCATCTTTAGGAATCACCAGGAGCGCTCGAGGCGCGGTCACCAACAACTCGGACCCGGACCAACTCGGCTAGAAATTTCACAGGTCTCACCTGTAGAAATTTTACAGGTCTCACTTGTGAGGGTCGACTTTTCCTTTACAGCACCGTCAACGTCGTCGCCGTCTGTCAAGTCTTCTCTCGCGTCCAGCGGCTCCATCCGGCACCGGCCGTGGTTCATTTCCCCTCGCGTGATTCCGCAAGTGGTCGAGATCGGAGCTCGTCTCCCTTGATATTTCATTGCTAAGCGCCACCTCTTCGTTTCTGGAAGACCTTTCCGCCGCAGACTCTTGCCGATCGGTGAAACGACATCGTCTTCCAGGGTGAGTAGGGCTCTGTCGAATGTGTCCGGAATGTAAACTACAGTGACACCTGGGTTTTCCCTTTGCACACCGAAGATGATGTCCTCTGCCATGCTATCTTCGTGAACTTGCCGTGTGGTCTTGTGAGTCCAGGGCAGTTGGGTCAAGGGCATGATGGCAAAAGAGGTTCCGCAATATTGCTTGCCGCTGAGTGGCAGCAGCCTCCTCTAATGCGGCAGCAGCCTCCTCTAATGCGGCAGCAGCTTCCTCTAATGCGGCATTCCAGTGAGCATCATCTTAATGCCAGGTCCCCGATCCGACACGCTGCACAGTGCGTGCCACGCCCGTGTCCCTCAAACGCTCGCAAAGTTTGAATGCCGCGGGACCTCGAATCGCGTGCAGCATCAGGCCAAGGAGAAAGCACTCAACTTTGTTTGGATTCGACGGACAGACACGACCCCGAGCATCGCTCGATCTAATGCCTGGGTCGCCTTCCACTGGGGCATCCCGCACTGGACGGCTTCAAGGACTTCAAGGGCCTTCAAGGACTTCATGGACCTTCAAGGGCTCCAAGGACTTCAAGGGCCTTCAAGGACTTCATGGGCCCTCAAGGGCATCCCCTATTCATTCTAGCCGTCGTACCGAGGCGCATTTACAGAAGTTTTTTTGCAAAGCCGCCGCGGCTGGAAGAAGGCAGATCGTGCCGGCGCACATTCTCTTCTGCGAAGCAGGCGCCTTGCGAAATGAGGATCCTCCAAATGGCCTCGTCGCCGCCGACGCGTCTGCCCATCTGGCCTCATGGACTTCACGGGATCCCAGAATCCCACATCTGAACGGGCGCCGGAAATTCTGGAACGCAGCGGTACAGAAAAACCATCTTCGCCCGCCCTGCAGAAAATTCCTAGGGAATTTCCCGGTGCGTTTCCTGTCCTTCCCGCGAGGAGAGGAACGATCGAGGGCGCCGGAAGAACCATGCAACACATTCTTGTAACCTTGAACCATGCAACATATCCGAGAAAGGAGCGGGCTCCTCCTCAGGATTTGGGAGCTCCACACCGACGATGTCAATCTGACTTCGCCCTGCTGGATTGCATCATCTTCGTCTGAGGAGCGCATTAAAAAAAAAAAATTCTCCGGGAAAGGGAAATTCGGTTCTTCGCTCCTTCAAGAATAAGACGTGCGCATTTCATTCACGCCGGAATACGCATTCCGGCGTGAAAAAAAAAAAATGTTTTTTTCCTCGCACTATTCTACCATGGCCACTCCCGGCGAAACTCGTTCATCGAAACTGAGCCTTTTCCTTTCCCTCATTGCGGAATCTTGAAAAGAAAAATTCGCTACTCGACGAATCCGCATTTAACGCTTTCCTGAGAGTCGGACGCGAGACAGACGGATTTGAAAGAGTTCCTGCCGGTTTCTTCGAGAATTCTTTCTCCGCGAATTTAATTCTTCGGATTTCGTGCCTCTCATTTTAGCTTTTCAGAGCTGACACGCATTGCCCTTTCTTTCCCTCCTAAAAACGGGGCTTATGGAGGCGACTGTTGCGAATGGAGGACAGTTGTATGAAGAAAAACTAATTTTTTTGTCCAGAGAATGTGAATATTTTTGTAAATTATATTATAAATCATTCTTCCATGGGCAGAACGGAGAGAAAACATTTTTTTTTGCAGAACAGGAGAGACTGAAAGAAATGTAGTAATGGCCTTAATGGGCTTAAAGGCCTTAATGGGCTGCATGTCTGACCTTTTTTAAAATCGTGACGATCCTTGATCCCCAGCCGAAGGACCCGGAAAAGGGTCCGAACCGTGCTCGCCCGGCACTCAAAAAAACCGGCACCTGGCCAGCTGGGGTGTGATTCGATTAGCCATTCGAAACCATCGACATCCCATTTTCTTGGACGTCATCGCGGAGGAGCAAGTCCAGCGGTCCAGCGGTCCAGCAGCGGTTGGTCCGGCTGGAAAGGGAATCGAAGGTGATGCCGTGCGAAGAGCTTAATTTCCGCCGTTTTCGCGATTTTTCGCGAGATTTTGCCCGCACTATCAAGTTTCGACGCAATTCGATTGCATCTCGGACTCCCAACATTCTCATCGAATGAAAGTCGCTTTCGACATTCTCTCCAGTCCACGATTTGGTCTTCCGCCGTTTTCGACTCCGACCGTGTCGTTCGGCCGTGTCGTTCGGCCGTGTCGTTCGACCGTGTCGCATCGCAGGAGAGAGAATTCATCCTTAAGCGATTCGAGGGGAATCCCTGAGAATCGATGCCTCCCGACCGAAAAGGATTAGCTTTCACCTTCATCTTTCACCTTCGTTGCGAGTCGGAGCCGGCACGCAGGAAGAGGAGCAGCGAGCCTCGCTCCCCCTGCGGAATCCGCAGCCTCATCCCCCTAGACACCCAGCCGTGCGACCCACTTTAAAGCGCCCTCCCTCGCGACGCACTCTTTAAAGCGCCATCCACCCTTTAAATCGCCTCCCACTCTTTAAGCGCCTTGCACCCTTTAAAGCGCCTTCCCCCGTCGCCGCCAGTGTCGAAGCGACCTCCGTGCCATCGAGACGGTCCGGCCGGGATCCCAGGATCGTCGATTGCTTCGCCGTGAGTCCCCGCAGTGCCGATTTCGTCGTTAGCGTGCGAGCGGAAACGCTTTCGCCTTTTTTCCGTCATGGTTCGGCGATGCGCCTCACTTCATCCGGAGACGGATTTCTTTCCGCCCAAACGACAATCGATTCTCGAGCCAGATGATTCCCAGTGTGAAGGTGCCTCGTCATCGCGAAAGGGACTTCCGGAAGATTCCATTTTGGAGCCTCCGGGAGAAATGGAAATGCCAATCGGCTAGGCGAACGAGTTCTCCCGTCGCAGGCAACCGACGATTTTCAGGGTCGTCTAGCATGCGCCATTCCGAAATTTCATCGAATTTCATCGAATTTTCATCGAATTTCATCGAATTTTCATCGAATTTCATCGAATTTTCATCGAATTTTCATCGAATTTCATCGAATTTTCATCGAATTTCATCGCCGAACATCATTCCCGTGAAATCGCCACGCATGCCGTTCGCAGCGTGTTCACATATTGAAATTCCCGTAATCGTAATGATTCCCTCTGGGACCGTTTTTCATCGGCACTGGTCTCCATGTATACCTGGCATGCAGACGGAAACGGCGTTTCACAAATGAGAACTAACGTCGATCTTTCGAGGAAATGTCTAACGATCATGTGAGCCATCGGGGAAGATACGACGCATCCTTTTGTCGACGCGAACCAGGAGTCGCGAAGTACCGGGAGTCACCTCTTTGAGGGGGGGGACCTCGGGATTTTCAACCAATCCGGTGACTTTTCGACTCGTTTTTATTTCCTCTGATTCTGCTGCCTCAGCCCGACGCGCACGGCCGACGAGCCTATTCCCATCTAGGCCATAGGCAAGGGGGAAGAATACGAGACGATCGTTCGGTTACGTCGTGCCCGTGTCCTCGATCCCTTCCGCGGTGCCCGTGTCCTCGATCCCTTCCGCGGTTCCCGTGTCCTCGATCCCTTCCGCGGTTCCCATCTAATTACAGCGGTGATCTTCTCACTGTTGCTTCTGTTTTCATGCAGACGTCGTGCACGCCATTTCGCCGCCAGAAATCGATGGAATCGAAAATGATTCCCATTCTTCTCATCGCCATCGCCTCCCTGGCGTCCGCAAGTGAGTCGTTCAGAATTGTTCAGCTAAAAGCTTTCAACCTGATCTCACAGTCGAGGATACAACTATGTACCTAAAATTAAACATCCAGTATCCCCACACATTGGTGCCATATGTGACAGCAACCCTCCACCTTACCACCCTCCACCCTACAACCCTCCACCCTCCACCCTGCAACCCTACCACCCTCCACCCTGCAACCCTCCAACCTACAACCCTCCACCAGCTCAGCCGTGTCTCCCCTGTACCCCCAGCCGCAGGGACATGCCCCACGTTCGAGGGATGCCCGAGGGAAGTCCAGAAGGAGTGCGCCGGCGATTGGGATTGCGAGCGTGGTCGCCTCTGCTGCGATAACTGCGGGAACCGTGTCTGCATGTTTCCCGGTACAGTCCAACACGCTCACACCGTTGATCTATCGCTCTTGCCACTGCTTACCGTTGATGTCGATGGGAAGCAACCGCAACTCGTTATTTTTTTGAAGCGGGAAAGTTGAATGCTGAGGATTCTTTTTAGGTCTGGGGCTCGTTGACTTTTTTTTTTCCTCGAAATTGTCATGTTTTACAGAAAATGATACTTGCCCGAGATTCGAGGGACGCCGATGCGAGCCGATCGAAGAATGTACGAACGATCTGGACTGCGAGCAGGGCCTCATCTGCTGCGAAGAATGTGGCCACAAGGTCTGCACCGCCCCCGGTAAGGTCAGAGATGCTCAACGCTTGCGCGTAACGCAATTATCATATCGTGAATGCAATACGGAAAAAAATATCATTTCTGTTTGGGATGATGACCAGTCGAAAATTTTCGGCCACGATTGTCGCGGGATTTGTGCATTTATTATCATCATCCAGATTAAATTATGTTCATCCCCCGTTGATCAAACATCGCTTAAAATATTGTCGCTCAGAACATTGTTGAACATGATATTTTGTCCAATACTTTCCTAAGAATTGACCTGCGAGAAGGTGAACTGCCCCGAAGGCACGTTCTGCAATCTGGTCATCCCCAATTGCAATGGTTCCGACGTCCCTTGCGCCCCCACGCTCTCCTGCGTCGGCGAGGGTAAGGCGACGGTCTCCGCAGGGACATCCGCCCCGGGGAGGAGCTCGGGGCTCTCGGTGAAGGGTGTCGCGTTTTCACTTCGTTTCTTCGTAGATGTGAGCACGTGTGAGGACGTGCGGTGTGAGGACGGGAGCACGTGCATGATGCGGGAGGTGGTCTGTGAGGCACCTCCGTGCTACCGTGTTCCCGAATGTGTCCCGACGACGAAGCCTCTCAATCTTCTTCCCAAAACTCCAGAAAGAGGTTCGATTATTTGGTGACGAAAAGGGATAGCTATTTCTCTACTCATTCAGAACTCTCGATAGATCTCTAAAAGTATGCACTGAAAAGATTCAACATTTTTGCTAATCGCCCATGGATATATCGTACAAGAATTATGTACGAGGGTTGTTGGAAAAGTCTTACAACTTTAATACTTCCAGAAACTCAATTTAGGCCAAAACTTCTACCATTTCATGAGGTATCTTCCATTAACAGATATATATTAGTTTCAGTCTGCTAAACTGCTAAAAGCAAGCTTAAAGTCTTTGGCGATGATGTGCTTAACATCTGGTTCACTATACTCCTCTCTAGATTTATATCTTCCTCCCTTTTGTGAATATTTAATTTTTGGGGGGAGCCAGAATTCACATGGGGCTAAATCTGGAGAATATATGGGGAGACACAGCATCTGAACCACAGGTTTCTCTAAAAATGTATGGTGGTTCAATTTACAGGATTTTTGTTATGGCGAAGAAGCGTTTCCTGAAATTGTATATTTCGTCCCTGTTCTCTCTTAGCTTCAAACACTTTAAACATGCACACATCTGCATATCAGCCTAAAGTAACTGTATTCCACTCCCCATGACTGACCAACTCCAAAATGTCCTGTACTGAGATGATGAAACCATGCATGCTCTTTCAGAAACCTTAAGGTCTAATGAATTACACAGGTGGTTACTCATCTTGAAACACCCACATCAAGCTTTGCCTTTTAGTGAGAGGATCTTGATGGTAAAACCAGTTCTTTACATGTGATGATGTCATTTAGGTGCTTTGACCTCCCTTCATCTAAATTCTTCAACATTAAGCAACAAAATTCAATGTGGTTTACTCCTCTGTCTTCATTCAGGTGAGGATGAATGCAATGACAATAAATCCTCTAGATCTGAACATTTGAGTTTAAATTTTTTTTTCACCAGTGCTGCTGATGCAATTCCCACTTCTTGGTCCTTATGCTGATATGAGGGTCATCTTTCATTTGTGACGTCACTGCTGCAACTTTCTCTTCCTGAGATTTCTTTAACCCTTCCAGACCTGGCGTCCATTCCACATTGGACATTGCATTTACATTTTGTCTATGGCAATTTCTTAGGATTCTCGTGACTTTACTTGGACGCAATTATGCATGGCTCAGTTCCATCAGATGCCTTCTTTCACCCATTAGTTTTGTAATATTCAGTCACTTAATTAAATAAATAATATATGGTATTATATGGTAAATTTATACATAATATGAAAACTACATGTAAAGCATGAAAATTTCAGTTACAATCACAAAAGAGCTCAAAAATGCAAAAAAAAGATATTATTCTGATAGCTGCCTTAATTCAGGTCTGAAAGGGTTAAGACCTTTCTGACATGATTTGGGATTTTCTTCAAAACCCACCCTCTCCAATTGAAAAATATGGTAGCACTAAAAGACTATGCTATAAGCATGATCATAAACTCCCAGCTCCGCTTCCGTCTCATCATGGCAGTCCTTGACATATGAACCTCGTTTGAGGTTGGAGAGGATCTTGAGCTGAAGGTCTTCTCGTCCCAAGACTGGAGCTTAAGCCATAACTTTTCCAGCAAGCAGCAAACCAATTTCATGAAATTTCTCTCTAATTTTCCATATTTGGCAAAATTTTTGCAGAGTCGGACAACGATAGCGTGGATTGCCCCCTTGGCCAAGATCAAGTGTTGGTCGTTCCCGACTGCAACGATCCCGATGTTCCTTGCGTCCCCACATCCTCCTGCATTCCGAGTGGTAGGCTGTCTGCTGCCGCTAGGTCATTCGCCCGGACTCTGGTCTCTCGTCGAGGGCTTTCGCTTTCCGATATCGTTACTCTGCTGGTAACATCGTTCGTCCTCAGATATGACGAAGTGCGAGGACGTGCAATGTGGGGAGGGGACCACTTGTGTGATGCGTGAGATGGCCTGCTTCGCACCTCCATGCTACCCTGTTCCCGTTTGTGTCCCGACGCAGCAACCCCTTCATCTTCTTCCCCAGACTCCAGAAAAAGGTTCGATTTTATGGGTATCAGAGAGATTTGAACTATTCCTCTACAATCATACCCTCCTCTCATTCACATCTGTCAACAAATCTCAAATGTCTGTTCTCCTCAAATCCAACAATTTTTCTTTCGGTCCATGCATGTAACGCAATGGAAATATTTAATACTAATACCCCTACGCCTGCAACGGTCAATTCACTCGACCAATCTTTTCTTACATCGCCATGCCGATCCCTTTCTCAATGAACGCCAGCCGCATCGTTTCCTCCTCCGACAGCGATTAAATGACAGCCAGCCGGGCGCACCCACCTGCTTCTGATACCAACTGCTAAGCCGTGCGTTTCTCCCTCCCCAGCTGCAGGGACATGCCCCATGATCGATGCATCCGAATGTAAGATGGGAGCTCTGAAGAAATGCGCCAACGACTCCGATTGCAATCAAGGTCTTCTCTGCTGCGATGACTGCGGGAGTCGTTTCTGCATGTTTTCCGGTACTGTTCCCTATGTCTAGGGCATGTACAATGTTCATACTATTAGAGGCGCTTCTATGCCCAGTCATGAAGCCACTATATTTCTTGATGACTTTTTGGGTGCTTTTAGGTAAAATTTGCGAAAGGCCTGTGCAGGACACGTTGTAGCTCTCAGTGATTTTTGAAATTGACATTTATCCGGCTATATAAAGAAAATCAAGATAAATTGAAAAATTTTCTTTCACTTTCCAAAATTTTCTGATATCTCGCCGCGTCATTTGAAGATATCTCTTGAGATGAATGAATCTCTAAATATTAAGAACTTCTAAACCTAAGCAAATATGTATTACATCCTTTTTTAAAGCTCCTACAGAGAACTTTCTGTGAGCTACGTTTTGCATACTTTCACATCAGTCCACATTTTCTTGAGTTGTGTCCGTGTCTTTTGAACTTGAACAAACATTAGGTGGAGGAATGATATTGTCCCTTGCAATTCACAAAAGAAACTTCTACTCTACGTCCCAAAACCATTAGGGTACTACGAACGTAACAGTTACGTTCAGAGCCTAATGGCGTCTATGCCTACGAACGTTTCTAGTTTTTTACATGCTGCTCCTACGAAGTTTTGAATTCGTTAATCATGTATCCACTTTGGAATGTTCACGAGGTTAATGCTTACTTGTCTTTATTGCCGTATATTTTCATGCATCAAAACAAAATGAATCAAGAAAAGTAAATCTTGAGAAGCACCTGTTAGCCAGCAGTATGGCTAAGTGAAAAAGTAATCGTCTACTTGTAGCTGAGTAAACAAATTTTAAAGCCTTTTTGTGTTACTTAGTAATTCTTCCATTTCCATAGTCAATCCAAACTTTTGATATTTCTCTGATGTGAACAGATTCAAAAGCGATCAGCATTTCTCCTTGTATCGAAAGAATACCTATGGAAATAGACTTTGAAAGCCATCAAGGGAAATGCCAAAACACTTGACTGGAGCTCGGGGACAATCGTTCGTTCTTGTGGAAAATATGTTTTCCAGATGGCGAGAAATGCCCGGAATTAGGAGGACTTCAATGCAACCCGATCGTGGAGTGTTCCGACGATTCGGACTGCGAACATGGCCTCATCTGCTGCCAAGAATGTGGACGCAGGATTTGCATGCCTCCCGGTAGCCTCGAAGGTATTCGGCGCTAACTTATAATCCAGCTCATTTGTTGTAGATGATGAGCAGTCAGTGACTCATAGACAAGCAATGGCTATTGAAGGTTTCATTAGGATTGTTATCGTTGTAACTTCATCGGTTATCCATACCAGCCTCATGAAATTTCCAACTTAGAAGGAAACTTTTCAGATCTTCATCAACTATTGAGGCTTCTCAAATAATCCTTTTAGAGTCGAACAACGATAACGTAAATTGCTCCAATGGCCAGGATGTCGTATTGGTCTTCCCCGACTGCGACAATCCCAGTGTCCAGGCCTGCATCCCCACATTCTCCAGCCTTCCAAGCGGTAATCTCTAAGATGCCGCCAAGTCATCCGCCCGGACGGGCCTGTTCTCTCCTAGCTTCAAACACTTTAGACATGCAAACATCTGCATATCAGCCTAAAGTAACTGTATGCCACTCCTCATGACTGACCTACTCCAAAATGTCCTGTACTAAGATGAGGAAAACAATCAACTTCTTTTCAGACACCTCAAGGTCCTATGAATTACACAGGTGGTTACTCATCTTGAAATACCCACATCATTCTTTGCCTTTTAGTGAGAGGGTCGTGATGGTAAAACCAGAGTTATTTACATGTGATGATGTCATTAAGTGCTTTGACCTCACTTTATTGAAATTCTTCAACATTAAGCAACAAAATTCAATGTGTCTCTGTCTTTATTCAGGTGAGGAGGAATGCAATTATAAAGAATCCTCTAGCTTTTTACATTTTGATGAAAATTTTCATTACTGCCGCTTAAGCAATTCCACTTCTTGGCCGACCTGCTGAATTGTGATATGAGGGTCATCCCTCATTTGTGACGTCACTGCTTCAACTTTCACTTCCTAAGATTTCTTTAAGAACTTTCTGACCTGATTTATGATCATCGTTGAAACCCACCCTCACCAATTGAAAGATATAGTATGATCACAGTCTCCTAGCACCCCTTCCGCCTCATCATGGTAGTCCCTTTCGCGTACAAATGAACCTTGTTTGATGTTGGAGAATATTGCGAGCAGGAGATATCTTCCCAGAACTGGAGCGTAAGCCATCACTTTTCAAGCATGCAGCGAACCAATTTAATGAAGTTTCTCTCTAATTTTCCTTATTTGGGAAAATTTTTTGGAAAGTTTGTTTACAACCTTCTGGAATTCATGAGAAAGCACAGAATTAAGAACACAGTCATAGGAAAATTGTTGGTGTATCAATTGCGAAGCTTTCGGAACAACCCTTGTAATTTCCTCTAAAATATCTGCAGAGTCGAACAATGATAGCGTGGATTGCCCACCTGGCCAAGTTTCCGTGTTGGTCATTCCAGACTGCGACTATCAAGATGTTCCTTGCATCCCCACATCCTCTTGCATTCCGAGTGGTAGGCTGTCTGCCGCTAGATCATCCGCCCGGACTGCCTCGGGTCTCTCGTCGAGGGCTTTCACTCTCCGATATCGTTATTATGTTGGTAATAACTTCCGTCCTCAGACATGACGACGTGCGAGGACGTGCAATGTGGGGAGGGGACCACGTGTGTGATGCGTGAGATGGCCTACTTCGCACCTCCATGCTACCCTGTTCCCGTTTGTGTCTCGACGCAGCAGCCCCTTCATCTTCTTCCCCAGACTCCAGAAACAGGTTCGATTTCACAGCAGTCGACAAAACATCATCCCTACACCTACAACGGTGGATTCTCTCCACCAATCATTTCTTACACCGACATGCCGATCCCACTCTCGATGAAAGCCAGCCGGGCGCACCCCCTCGCTTCTGACTCCAACTGTTAAGCCGTGCGTTTCTCCCTCCCCAGCCGCAGGGACATGCCCCATGATCGATTCGTCCGAATGTGACAGGAGAGCCACGAAGATATGCGCCAACGACTCCGATTGCAATCAAGGTCTTCTCTGCTGCGATGACTGCGGGAGTCGTTTCTGCATGTTTTCCGGTACTGTTCCTCATGCTCATGCCAATGATCACCTTGTTGCCAGATATCGTTATGCACCAAAACTAAATGAACAATAGAATATCTTGAGAGGCTCCTGTTAATCAGCAGTATGGCGGTGCGAAGAAGGTAACCTTCTAAGGAATAAATGTAATAAATCGACAGAAAATGTGAATCTGAGATCGAAAATTACATTGATGTCAGAAAAACTTACAGGAGTTCAGTAATATCATAATCTGTGGTAACATCTACAGGGAATATTCTACATTTACCTATACTGCGCGCAATTGCAATAAAAACTTCAGCCGGGAGCTAGAGCACAATCATGTAATTCAGTACATAAAGGGTTAAGATGACTCTTTGAGTTGAAAGTGCTAAGGTTAAAACAATCATTGTCAAATCGTACTGCCATGAAATCACTAATCATGAATCATTTGACTTTAATAGTGGTTAGGTCGTTAGGGCATATACGATGCATTAAACTAGCTATATATTCCAATATCCGACAGTCTATGAGTGTGGATGAAAATGGTATTTAAGCTCATTTTGTTTCATGTGAAAGAAAATCTTCATGTCGTAATTCAAGGATATGTATGACATATTCCCTGCCACCTTTGTCAAAATCATCGTTTATTTCTGACTTAGTGGCTTTCAACTAAATTGAAACTTAGTCTGAGTTTTCTAAGACGAATTGTGTTACTTTTTTAATCTGTCATTTCTATAGTTTTTTTTTCCCAAAACTTTTGATTATTCTGTAACGTGAATAGATGCAAAAAGCGATCAGCACTCTTCTTTGTATTGAAGTGGAATGAATACCTGTGGAACTGGACTTTAGAAGGGAAACGTTTACATGACACTGAGCTTGGAGTCAATCCATCGTAATTGTGGAAAATGTCGTTTTCCAGACGGCGAGAAATGCCCGGAATTAGGAGGACTTCAATGCAACCCGATCGTGGAGTGTTCGGACGATTCGGGCTGCGAGCATGGCCTCATCTGCTGCCAAGATTGTGGCCGCAAGATTTGTATGCCGCCTGGTAGGCTCGAAGGTATTCAACGCTAACTTTTTAATTCAACTCGTTTGCAGTAGACCAAGAACAGATAGTGACTCTGGACAAGTTATCGCTATTGAAGGCGTAGTTTTGATTGCTATCTTGTAAATTTATCGGTTATGCTTAATATCCTCGTGAAATTTTCAACTTGTATGGAAACTATTCAAGTCACCATGAAATATTGGGGCTTTTCATGTAATTCTTCCAGAGTCGAACACCGATGGCGTGAAATGCCACAACGACCAGATTGCCGTATTGGTCGTCCCCGACTGCGAGGATCCCAAGGACCCCTGCATCCCCACATTCTCCTGCCTTCCAAGCGGTAGGCTCTCAGACGCCGCCAAGTCATCCGCCCGGACGGGCCTCTGGTCCCCCCGTCGAGGGTGTCCGCTTTCCTATGTCGTTCCTCCACAGGTATGACGAAGTGTGAGGACGTGGATTGCGGGGAGGGGACCTCGTGTGTGATGCGTGAGATGGCCTGTTTCGCACCTCCATGCCACCCCATTCCTGCGTGTGTACCGACTCGGCAGCCAGTTAATCTTCCTGAAACTTCAGAAAGAGGTTAGACTTTTGGGAAAATAAAGTGGTTATTTATTCCCCGACCGATTCTGAAATGTCAATGAATCTCAAAAGTCTACACTTCTCATATCAACATTTTGCTTTCGACTCATGAATGTACGACAATATAAATATTTAATTTCCTTGCTCCTGTATCGGTCAAGTCTTTCGAGCAATCCTTTCCTACACCGACAAACCTATCCTATTCTCGATTGACCACAACTGCTGATGTCCCGCTCCTCCAAGCTATTCAAAAAGACAACCAACATTGCACACCCACCCGCTTCTTACTACATCCGCTAAGCCAAGCGTTTCTTCCCCCCTCCCCAACTGCAGGCACATGCCCCGTGATCGACGGATCGCAATTTGGGATGGAAACCCTGGGAAAGTGTGCCAACGACTCCGAATGCGACCATGGTCTACTCTGTTGCGATGTCTGTGGGAACACCGTCTGCATGTTTCCCGGTACGGTCTCCTATGCCCATGGCATGTTCCTATCGTTCGTCCCAATAGAAAGTGATTTTATTCCAGTTATGCTGGCACTGTTTAAAGTAAAACTTTGATTTCCTGTCAAGCGTACGAACAACCAGTTAAAGACATAAAATTAATATTTAATATTTTTGTGCATATTTATCTCGCTACGAAAATGTCAAGCTAAATATTTTACTATTGATACATTTCCCTGAAATTTAGACGCGTTATTTGAACACGTCTCAAGTGAGAAATCCCTTGATGTCTCAGGAAGAAATCAAGTTGGGTGAATGTTGCAATTCCGTCTCTGAAAGTCTCCGTAGGGACCTTTCTATTTGCGGCATTTTTCGCAATTTTATCTTACTGGACGAGTATTGTTAGATTCAAAGTGACACTATTCTATCTGAGATAAAACCACTATTTCACTTGTTTTTTACTGTTAACATATTTAAAGAATATATAAAGAGTCCCAAATTCCAAATATATCTATTCTGTATTTCCTATGTATTATTATTGCTATTATATATTACTGCTAATGAAAACTGTATTATGTGTGCATTTTTATTGTCTTGATGACAATCGTCTCTGGCATTTTTCAAGGAAATGTGTGAGGCACACACGCTTCTCAAAATTTCACCACCGTAGATTGAAATATTTTTGTATTTTTACAAATTGGAAATAGGATTTTTAAGCATGAATGTATTTGGTTTGTCATTCCAATAGTTTTCCCAACTAACTTTTTCGATCGGGGCCGGATGCCAGAATAAATGGGCCTCATTCTTCCCATTGAAAATCGAATGAACAACGGCGGGATCAGAACTTGGAAGGCGCTTATATGATTTCTTGTTGAGCTCTGAGTCACTCGGTCGTTCGCGTGGAACTTTTCCGTGTTTTTCAGACGGGGGGAAATGCCCGGAGTTCGAAGGACGTCAGTGCTCCAGCGACGCGGATTGCTTCCAGGGGCTCATCTGCTGCGAAGAATGCGGCCGCAATTTTTGCGTGCCACCTGGTAGGTTCTCAAATACTCGACGCAACTAATTCGTTACTACCATTGTATATACCAAAACTGAAGCAATATTTTGGTGTAGATGATGTGCGGTCGGTCACTCTCAACAAATTGTGTCAATTGTAGGATTCACTGTATTTGCTGTCGTTATGAAAGTCTAGTTAATGCATTCCAACTTCATCAGGTGTCCAACTTATTACGAGCGTGGTCACATCACGTTCGAATATAGCGGCTTCTCAATTAGTTTTTGCAGAGTCCAGCTCCGAAAACGCAGTGTGCCTCGATGGGCAGGTTGCCGTGTTGGCCTTCCCCGAATGCGGCGATCCCGACGTCTGCATCCCCACGATCGTCTGCATTCCGGATGGTAGGCACGGTCGCCGCAGGGGTCATCCGCCCTTGGGCTCTCGGGGAAAGGCTTTCGCTTCCCAATTTCGTTTTTCCGCAGGTTTGCCTACGTGCCTGAACGTGGATTGTGGGGATTCGAGCGCGTGTTTGATGCGTGAGGTGACCTGTGACGGATTTGCGTGCTACCCCGTTCCCGAATGTGTCCCGACTCCGAAGCCCCTCAATCTTCTTTCCGAAAATCCAGAAGGAGGTTCGATTTTTTTTGTGACGGAAAGGGATAACCATTTCTCTACCTATTGAGAACTCTCAATAGATCTCTAAAAGTCTCTACCGAACAGATGCAACATTTTTGCCTTTCGCCCAGAGTTAAATTGAGTTTCTGGAAGTATTAAAGTTGCAAAACTTTTGGAACAACCCTAGTACATATTTTTTGTAATATTTATTCCAAACGTCTACCATTTCATGAGGTTCCTTCCACTAGCAGATATACCTAGATGCGGTCTGCTGAACCAGCTTTCAAAGCAAGTTTTTAAACCTTTTATGGTGAATGTTTTAAACACTTGTTTCACTATACCTTATGACTCCTCTCTGGACGTAAGTCTTACTCCCTTTTGTCGATATTTTATTTTTCCGGGAAACGAAATTCACATGGGACTGAATCTGGAGAATACATGGAAAGAGAAGGCATCTTAATATCAAAATTTCTCCAAAAACCTTTTATTCCGGTGGTTCAATTTACAGGATTTTTGTTATGGTGAAGGAGGGTTTCTGGAAAATGTAAATTTTGTCCTTGTTATATCTTAGCTTTAAACTTTTTAGACATGCAAACATCCGCCTGATGTAAGTGTATGCCACTCATCGTGACTGACAAACTTCAAAATTTTCTTTACTGAGATAAGGAAGCCATGTATGTTCTTTCAGACACCTCAAGGTCTAATGAATTATAAAGGTGGTTATTCATCTTGAAACACTTACATCATGCTTTCCCTTTTAGTGAGGTGGTATTGATGGTAAAACCTGAGTTATTTACATATGGTGATGTCATTTAGGTGCTTTGACCTCACTTCATCTAAATTCTTCAGCATCAAGCAACAAAATTCAATTTAGTTTACTCCTCTGTCTTTATTCAGGTGAGGAGGAATGCAATGACCAGAAATCCTCTAGATTTGTATATTTTGATGGAATTTTTTTTTCATCAGTGGTGCCGATGCAATTCCCTTATCTTAGTCCATCTGTTGAAACGTGATATGAGGGTCATCTCTCATTTGCGACGCTACTGCTTCAAATTTCATTTCCGAAGATTTCTTCAAGAACTTTCTAACCTGATTTAGGTTTGTCATTGAAACATACTCTCCCCAATTGAAAAATATGGCAGCACGGAATGACCATGCTTCGAGCATGCTCACAGTCTCCTAACGCCGCTTCCGTCTCATCATGGTAGTCTTTGTCATATAAACCTTGTTTGATGTTGGAGAAGATTATGAGCTAGAGAACTTCTCTTCGCAAAACTTAAGCTTACGCTATCACTTTTGAAGCATGCAGTGAACCAATTTAATAAAAACTCTCCAATTATTCATGTTTGGCAAAAGTTTTCGGAATTTGGTTTACAACCTTCAAAAACTCATGAGTGAGGTCAGGATTAAAAACAGTACAAATTTTCATGTATCATCATGTATTTAGGCCTACGCCATACCATTCTCATGCACACATTCTATCCTCTGTCATTGATGGAAGTATGTCACTGATAGGGTGTTCACTCAGGAGGAATTCTGACTTTGGGGGTACATGCTCTGGGGACAAATTTCATGGGGGGCTGATTTCTTAGGCGTAGGCCTAATTCATGGATGAACACTTAGGCCACTACCATCCTAATGGCCTCTCTTCTTCAAAAGAAGCGGGATGGAGAACCAGGTGTTTGACTCACATACTACAAATAACAGTTCGACATTGGAGGTACGTGCCCTGAGGGGACTGATTCAGCAGGCCCATATCTAACCCTTGAGAGGACGATCGTGACTGAGGGAGTGACTGACGCTAATTCTAACCAATTTCCGATTAAAAGCGATTAAAAGACAGCCACCCGGGCGCACCCACCTGCTTCTGATTCCAACTGTTAAACCCTGCGTTTCTACCTCCTCCAGCCGCAGGGACATGCCCCATGATCGATGCATCCGAATGTAAGATGGGAGCTCTGAAGAAGTGCGCCAACGACTCCGATTGCAATCAAGGTCTTCTCTGCTGCGATGACTGCGGGAGTCGTTTCTGCATGTTTTCAGGTACGGTTCCTCATGCTTAAGGCATGTGCCTATGCCTGCCTTTGTTGCCAGATATCGTTATGCACCAAAACTAAATTAATGAACAAAATAAAATCTTGAGAAGCTCCTGTTAGTCGACAGTATGGCTGCGCGAATGAAGTAATCGTCTGCTGGTTTCTAAGAACGAAATTAAATAAATGAACCATGAAAGTGAATCTGAGAAAGAAATGATAATGAGGTCAGTGAAATTTGCAAGAGTTCATTGTGCAAATAGTTGCAACATATGCAAGGGAATTTCTACATTTACCTATATCGTGCGCAATTGCAATAAAAACTTCGGCCGGGAGGGAGAGCGCTATGATTGAACGCAGTACCGAAAGGGTTAAAATGACAGGCGAAATTGCAAAGGTAAAAACAATACTTTTCATATGATACTGGCGTGAAGTCACCAATCTTGAGTCGTTTGACTGTCATGGCGATTAAGTCGTTAGGCCATATTTAAGAGATTATAAAGTATATAGGGTGGTTTAAAAAAAAAACGATCTACCGTTTTCTATGGTAGAAACAGTTTTATAAATTTAGCAAGAAAAAAAAAGCTAAATTGGATACGGTATCGATATTTTACAGATGCAAGGTGTTGAAATGTTTGTCAGCTTTTTTCGGCACCCCTGCCTAAATTGTCCAATGCCCATTTAGAGGCGAATTAAAGGTGCTTAGATGTGGAGCATTCCACCTCAAATGAGGATATGACCTGTGCTGCATCGTCTCAGAATTCAATGAACTTTCCATCTCCAATTTTTCAAGGGATAGTTGGATCTAGCTGATAAATGAGAGGTTCACGAGTCTAAGAGGTTTTTGCACATTCTCAGCTGTATCACGGTAGAAGGCGCTGTTGTTGACCGTGTGACCGAGGGTCATTAAAAAAACGCTCCACCGTCTCGAAGGGGAGAAAGAATGATAATATGTGCTCATATGCCCTATGCCCAGTTCAAAAAATTGTTCCGAGAAAAACTCAGACAAGCTTCACAACACCTCCGATTTGTCCAATATCAAAAGTTTATCAATATTATATTGTCTCCTCAAATGCACAAATCATTCTTTCTCCCCTTCGAGACGATGGAGCGTTTTTTTTAATGACCCTCCGTCACCCGGTCAACAACACTGCCTTCTATCGGGATACAGCTGAGAATGTGAAAAACCTCTTAGACTCGTGAACCTCTCATTTATCAGCTGGATCCAACTGTCCCTTGAAAAATTGGAGTCGAAAAGTTCATTGAATTCTGAAACGGTCTAGAAGAGGTGGAACGCTCCACCTCTAAGCACCTGTAATTCACCTCTTAATGGGCATTGCACAATTTAGGCAGGGGTGCTGAAGAAAGCTGACAAGCATTTCAACACCTTGTAAATGTCAAATATCGATCAAGAGCCCAATTTAATTTTTTTTTTTTGCTGAACTGTTTCTCTCCTATAGAAAACGGTTGATCTTTTTTTTTTTACCCACCCTATATATCCCCATATACAGCAGTGTATTGGTGTGAATGAAAATGGTATTTGGCCTAAAATTTTTGCATCTGGAAGAAGACCTTCCATGCCATAATTCAGGGGTATCTAAAACATACTTCCTACCACATTTGTCAAAATTGTTGTTTACTTTTGAGGCAACAACTTTTAACTAAATTGAAACTTAGACTGAGTTGTGTTAGCCAAATTGTGTTACATGGTCATTCTCTAATTTCCCTTTGGAACTAGACTTTATAAGCCACCAAGGGAAATGCTTATATAACCCTTGACTGGAGCTCGGGATCAATCCATCGTACTTGTGGAAATTGTCATGTTTTCCAGATGGCGAGAAATGCCCGGAATTAGGAGGACTTCAATGCAACCCGATCAAGGAGTGTTCGGACGATTCGGACTGCGAGCTTGGCCTCATCTGCTGCCAAGAATGTGGCCGCAGGATTTGCATGCCACCCAGTAGGCTCGAAGGTATTCGGCGCTAACTTATAATCCAGCTCATTTGTAGAAGAAGATGAACAGTCAGTGACTCCAGACAAGCTATCACTATTGAAGGTTTCATTAGGATTGTTATCGTAACTTTTTCGGCTATGGATACCAGCCTTATGAAATTTCCAACTTAGGAGAAAACTATTAAAATCATCATCAAATACTGAGGCTTCTCAAATAATTCTTTTAGACTCGAACAACGATGGCGTGAATTGCTCCAGTGGCCAGGTTCCCATATTGGTCTTCCCCGACTGCGACAATCCCAGTGTCCAGGCCTGCATCCCCACATTCTCCTGCCTTCCAAGCGGTACGCTCTCAGACGCCGCCAATTCATCCGCCCGGACGGGCCTCTGGTCCCCCCGTCGAGGGTTTCCGCTTTCCTATGTCGTTCCTCCACAGGTATGACGAAGTGTGAGGACGTGGATTGCGGGGAGGGGACCTCTTGTGTGATGCGTGAGATGGCCTGTTTCGCACCTCCATGCCACCCCGTTCCCGCATGTGTCCCGACTCGACATCCAGTTAACTTTCTTCCCGAAACTTCAGAAAGAGGTTAGACTTTTGGGAAAATAAAGTAGTTCTATATTCCCCTATCCATTCAGAAATGTCAATGAATCTCAAAAAGTCAACATTTCTCAAATCCAACATTTTGCTTTTGACTGATAAGTGCATCACTATATAAGTATGTAATTTCCTTGCTCCTATATCGGTCAAGCCTCTCGAGTAATCCTTTCCTACACCGACCAACCTATCCTATACTCGATTGACCCCAGCTGCTTATGTCTCCCTCCCAACAGCGTTTTAGAAAGACAACGAACTTTGCACATCCACCCACTTCTGATTCCATCCGCTAAGCCGTGTGTTCCCCCCCAACTGCAGGCACATGCCCTGTGATCAATGGACCACAATTTGAGATGGAAGCCCTGGGAAAGTGCGCCAACGACTCCGATTGCGACCAAGGTCTACTCTGTTGCGAAGTCTGCGGCAGCGCTGGCTGCATGTTTCCCGGTACGGTCTCCTATTCCCATTGCATGTTCCTATCGTTCGTCCCAATAGAAAACGGTTTTATTCTAGGTATGTTATCACAATTTAAAGTAACAATTTGATTTGCTGTCAAGTGTACCAACAACCTGTTAAAGACTTGAAATGAATATTACTACTTTTGTGTATATTTATCTCGCAACGAAAATGTCACGCTAAATATTTTTACTATTGACACATTTCCCTGAAATCTTGCCGCATTATTTGAACACGTCTCACGTGAGAAATCCCTTGACATCTCAAGATGAAATCAAGTTGGGCGAATGTTCTGACCGCCTCTGAAAGTCTCCGTAGGGACCTTTCTATTTACCGTATTTTGCTCAATTTTATCTCATTGGATACTTATTGTTTGATTCAAAAGTGATGGACACTCCTCTATCTGAGATAAAACCACTATTTGACATTTTTTTACTGTTGACATATTTAAAGAATATATAAAAAGTCCCAAATTCCAAATATATATATATTCCGTAATTCCTATGTATAAATAGCTGACTGATAATGAAAACTATATCCGAGGTGAATTTTTATAGTCTCGATGAGAATCTGGCATGTTTCACGGGAATGTGAGGCCCACACGTTTCTCAAAATTCTATCACTGCAGATGGAGAGATTTTAATATTTTTTTTATTTACAAATTTGAAAGAGGTATGTAAGCATAAATGTGTTTGGTTTCGTTATTTCAATTGTTTTTTTTTTCTAACAAACTTTTTCGATTGGGGTCGGATGCCAGAATAAATCGGCGTTCTCTTTCGCATTGAAAATCGAATGAATAACCAGAATGACCAGAACTTGGAAGGCGCTCGTATGATTTCTTGTTGAGCTCTGAGTCACTCGGTCGTTCGGGTGGAACTTTTCCGTGTTTTCCAGACGGCGGGAAATGCCCTGAGTTCGAAGGACGTCAGTGTGCCAGCGACGCGGACTGCTTGCAGGGGCTCATCTGCTGCGAAGAATGCGGCCGCAATTTTTGCGTGCCACCTGGTAGGTTCTCAAAGACTCGACGCAACTAATTCGTTGCTCCCATCGTAAATACCAAAACTGAAGCAATATTTTGCGGTAGATGATGGGCGGTCGGTCACTCTCGACAAATTGTGTCAATTCACTGTATTTGCTGTCGATATGAAAGTCTAGTTAATTCATTTCAACTTCATCAGGTATCCCACTTATTTCGAGCGTGGTCACATCACCGTCGAATATAGCTGCTTCTCAAATAGTTTTTGCAGAGTCCAGCTCCGAAAACGCAGTGTGCCTCGATGGGCAGGTTGCCGTGTTGGCCTTCCCCGAATGCGGCGATCCCGACGTCTGCATCCCCACGATCGTCTGCATTCCGGATGGTAGGCACGGTCGCCGCAGGGGTCATCCGCCCTTGGGCTCTCGGCGAAAGGCTTTCGCTGCACGATTTCGTTTCTCCGCAGGTTTGCCTACGTGTCTGAACGTGGAGTGCGAGGAGTCGAGCGCATGTTTGATGCGTGAGGTGTCCTGTGCCGCATTTCCGTGCTACCCTGTTCCCGAATGTGTCCCGACTCAGCAGCCACTCAATCATCTTCCAAAAACTCCGGAAAATGGTTCGATTTTTTTGGTGCCAAGGAGGGTATTTATCACCCACCCATTCAGAAATGTCAGTAAATCTCACAAATCTACAGTATACTTCTCAATTTCAACAAATTGCTTTCTGCCCATGAACGTATCGCTATATAATTCTTTAATTTCCTTGCTCCTACATCGGACAAGTCTTCCGTATAATCTTTCCCTACACTGACAAGCCTCTCCTACACTCGGTTAACGCCAACCGCCTAAGTCCCGCTCCCGACGGTGATTCAAAAAGAGTAACAAACTCGTCGCACCCAGCAGGTTTTAACTCCATCCACTAAGCCGTGCATCTCTCACATCGTCACATCGTATATACCAAAAATGCATTAAAATTTTTGGGTTAGATAAGCCTGTCGGTCACTCTAGACAAACCATGCCTATTGTTGGCTTCACTGCATTTGATGATGTTATGGAGGTCCTGTTCATGCATACCAACTTAATCAAGTGCTCAGCTTATAATGAGCGTGGTCACATCACCTTCAAATATAGCGGCTTCTCAAATAATTTTTGCAGAGTCCAGCTCCGATAAGGCCGATTGCTCCGATGGGCAGGTTGCCGTGTTGGCCTTCCCCGAATGCGGCGATGCCGACGTCTGCGTCCCCACGATCGTCTGCATCCCGGATGGTAGGCACGGTCGCCGCAGGGGTCATCCGCCCTTGGGCTCTCGGGGAAAGGCTATTGCTTCCCGATTTCGTTTCTCTGCAGGTTTGCCTACGTGCCTGAACGTGTCGTGTGGGGAGTGGAGCGCGTGTTTGATGCTTGAGGCGACCTGTGTCGCATCTCCATGCTACCCTGTTCCCGAATGTGTCCCGCTTCCAGAAACTATTGGGACTCTTTCCAGAACAGCAGAATTTGTTGCTACTTTGGGTAACAGAAACATTCCTTATTCCTCAGACGATGCCGAAATCCAATACATCTCGATAGACTATCTTCTTTGATCCTGCAATGTTGATTTGTGTTGTTTCAATTTAGTAATCTTTAATTTCCACATTCATACCCGTTAAATGACTCGACTCCGACACGGACACGCGCACCCCACACCTGTTCACCGCCAACGCCTGTCACAGACGACCCAAGAGGAATCGCCGCCCGCTTCCGCTTCCATCTGCTTAGCCGTGTGTCTCTTCCTCCTTTGATCCGCAGGGAAATGCCCCGCGATCGGCGGATCTCAGTGCGACGCGGAAGACATGAAGAGCTGCACCGAAGACTCGGATTGCGATCGGGGTCTGGTCTGCTGCGACCTGTGCGGGAATCGCGTCTGCGTGTCGGCCGGTAAGATCTCCCGTGTCTGTTGGATCGTCCTATCTTTCGTGCCGCTGGGTAACGGTTTCATTTCGTTGTTGAACCCACCAAATTAATGCTGACATTTATCTAACGTTGAACTTGCGTTGAGCTCCCTCATCAACGAAAATATGTTCACATTGTCATTATTCATTCGCATCGGTAACCCTGACACACGTTTTTCCATGGTACGGTGGGGTCTAAGAACCGTCGTACACTATTTACCATACAAAAATTAATGGAAAATATGTGGAAATAAAACTCATAAGAGGACGGAGAGTAAGATGCTTGCGTTTTTTTGGTATAGGTTCAGAGGATTTTCGGTTTTCTTTGTCCAACTTTCAATCTCTTACAGAGGGCAAGGGATGTCCGGAACTGGGAGAATATCAGTGCGAAACGAATTGCTCCACCGATTTGGACTGTGGGTTGGGCCTCTTGTGCTGCGAAGATTGTGGCCGCAAGCTTTGCATGCTACCTGGTAAGGTCGAAGTTTCCCGGTTCATTTCATTAGAAAGAGCGTAAAAAAAATATTCCAAATGAATTAAACATATTTGAAATATCTCCTATTGGCAGCAATAACTTTTCTGGGGCGTTTTGGAAAATTGTTCACAGTTTCTCACAGCTATTTTGCAGGGATTTTGTCCCACCTCTTCAACAAAGCCACCTTGAGATTGCCCAAAATTTTATGCCTGATAGCACTGATCTGTGCCTCCAGAAAGGACCAGATACTGTAGTCCATTGGATTTAAACCAGGGGAACAGAAGGGTCCCTTCTGTTCCCCTGGTTTAAATCCAATGGACTACAGTATCTGGTCCTTTCTGGAGGCACAGATCAGTGCTATCAGGCATAAAATTTTGGGCAATCTCAAGGTGGCTTTGTTGAAGAGGTGGGACAAAATCCCTGTAAAATAGCTGTGAGAAACTGTGAACAATTTTCCATAACGCCCCAGAAAAGTTATTGCTGCCAATAGGAGATATTTCAAATATGTTTAATTCATTTTGAATATTTTTTTTACGCTCTTTCTAATGAAATAAAAAAAAGTTTTCTTCCTCTTCATTGCATCAAGATGTTGGTATTTTTGAGTGTCTCCGAACTTTCCGGTCACCCTGTATATATAATGGGAAGGTGAGCAATCGGTGGCTTCTGACGCTTCCGTGCGATTCGCTAAGTTTTCCATTGATATCAAGACTTCGCATGTAAATCCAAACTTTATAAAGAGTTGAAAAACGAATACTCTCTCACTTAATTTAGCGCCCTCTCAAATGGTTTCCGTAGAATTGAGCTGCAAGAACGTACACTGTCTCAAGGACCAGAAATGCATGATGTCCTTCCCCCACTGCAGCAGCCCCGACGATCCCTGCCTCCCCAAGCTCTCCTGCATCCCAAAGGGTAAGCTCTCGGTCGCCGCCGGGCCATCCGCCCCGAGGGGCTCTCGGTGAAGGGTCTCGCTTCTCGTGTCTCCGCAGGTGCGCCGACGTGCGAGGAGGTGCGGTGTGGGGACGGGAGCACGTGCATGATGCGGGATGTGGCGTGCGTCGCGGCGCCGTGTTATCCCGTTCCCGAATGCGTTCCACTTTCCAAACTTCGAGCCTCGCCCCGAAACAGATACTGATGCAGTAATCGCGTAATCAAAATCCTATCTTCTCCCATACCTATTATTTCAAGAAATATCAGTTGGCACTTTTTCATTTTGCTCCTGGTCCGTGCACGGATTTTTTTTCTTCTAAAATCTCGTCATTTCCCTATTCCCTACACCACGCCGATATAGCGTTAAATTCATGAATATATATGAACAACACCATTGAATAAAGCTATTTCTCGCAATTTCGACTCTTGTGATTGTTGCGAAGAACATGATAGCCGAGGCACTCTTCTGTTTCCTTCCGAGTGGAAGAGGAAGAGCTGTTTTCTCACCATTGCTTTGTCACTGTCAACGAGAGCGTATGATATGACAAACTCGCTAGTAATACAGTACCAACACTTTTTCAATCGGAAAAATGAGCTGAGTTCTCTCTTCAACCTCTTCACGTTAAGAAATTAGAGCTCCTCCTTTCCCTTTTAAGAGCATCTAGAAGAATGAAATTGAACTTTCTTCTTACCCTCTAAACACCAAATCAGGCCAGCTAATTTGCGCCACAAAGAGAGAGAACAGGATGACAATGGGTAAACCCCCCCCCGAGAGATTTCTGGCGATTGCCAAATCAAAACAAACATATGAACTTATAGAGCGAGAAAATTGCCCCTTTCGCATTAGACGATGCACTATTTTGCTGTAGAAATGAAATGAGCTGAGTGCATTTAAGCTTTTCGTGCGGGCTGGAGTCCCATCCCTCATGATTGCCTGATGTCGTGGAGTAATGTCGGATTCACGACTGTTTCTGCTTTCATATCGATGCCTGGGTCTTCAGTTTCATTATGTGTGGAACCTTTTTGCGAGGAGTTCGTGGCATGAGGCGAGAGTAAATCACGAGTTAGCAACTGCCGATCGACGCAGTGCAAAGTGGACATATCGTGCATGGACATCCCTGCCGATGGGGAATCTTACTTCCGTTCGAATTTCGGAGGCAGTATGTCCACAGACATCCGAGTCGAGACGGTGAGAGAAACGTCAGATGAGTCGATCGCTACGCTTTTTCACCGGGATGTCTGGAATTTCCTGTGATGCACCGATTTCGAGTTGATCGGCCCTCAGGTCAAGAGTCTCGCGCATGAAGAGGAGTGTTTAAGCCCGACCTGAGGACAGTCCGTGGCCGAGGTGTTAGCAACAGAAGACCTTCGGAGGGAGAGGTGTTGAAGTAAGAGGAAAACTTTTTGGAAAATGTGTTCCCTTTTGCATTTACTTAAACAATTCGTATCCTGGAAATTGTCCGGCCTAGAACTCTGCAGTCTTGGTCTGCCGCGCGAGGCGGACAAGCCTATGCCTGTCCAGGCCATAGGCCAGGGGTATGGGACAAGGCACGCCAATACGCTTGTGAATGCAAGTGAGTGAATTCATGAGCAACCCTTATCCAAACATTTAGCCTATGGCCCAGAGAGGCATAGCCTTGCAGGCCTCGCTCATCAGGGTAAAGTAGCAGACACATAGGTCAGGTCGTCCGAATCGTTACTGAATACGAATGGGATGAACGCCTTACTGTACTTGTTTATGGTTCCTTTTACAATCGCTTTCTCGATGATTAAACGCACATCGTCGGACTGAGCTTGAGTCCGGCAACGGTAGTAACACTATTTGCGACGCTCGAGTCATTCCAACTTGAACACTTCACCGACATTGGCCACATTTTAATCTCTCTTTTATCTCAGCACGAGACTTAGAAGGAGACTATTTTAATTTACTATTTTCACTATGGTTTGCGCCTTGACACGGTCTTTAGGCTCCTAATTGACGTGTCCATAGACGTGTTCTTCCCCTGAGAATGCGAGCTTCGAGTATGACACGAGTCCTCGCCGTAGACCCCGCGAAATTCGGACCGAGCAGCGTAAAGCTGTGGACTGCATCCTTCCGCGCCTGTTCGTGCGTCCGGTGCGACCGACGTCGAGTGGCTGGGATGTGCGGCTCGTGTGAGAGGCCGCAACGATGATCTGGGTCCTCATAGTCCAAGGATTCTGGGCTGTCAGGCATCGAAATCCATGAACAGAGGGAAAGACGACATTCAGGGCATGTCTCACAAGGAAGAAATGCAGAGAGGATTTCCAGACGCATTGACGATAGCTAGGACAAGGATAGCAGCGGTGGACTTCCCCCCCCCCCTCACCCCCTCCAAAAGTTGAGCTAGAGGCGTTTTTCCCCGTCGCCACTACCTTCTCTCCATCCAACCCGTTTTGTGATTCCAATCAGTTCGCCTCTCGACGCGATTCTAGCGCGATCGTAGCTTCATGCCTCAGGGGAACGGGAGTCTTTTGCAGGTCTTCGGCTGCCGGTCTCTCCCGGCCCGTCGCGAAGTACCTTGCCAGTTTGCCTCGTCGCGGATTTTGCTTCACTGAGAGCTCAAACAGAGAAGAAATGAGTGCGACCAGGTCGTCCTCCCTTGACCTTCCCCCAAGACACGACCGCTTTATTTTCTACCATTTCGTTCGTTGCGTCGTCGGTGGCAAGGCAGGAATTCCGGCTTGATAATTTTTTTTCGTATTCCACGCGTTAGGTTATATTGGGGTTGCGCGTTCGACCCCGAGAGAAACTCGTGTAGACTCGTGCGTCATGGCGAGAGCAGCCGAAATGAACATTTCAATCGTGAAGCGTTACTTACTCCAAACTCACTTTCTGTCTCTTAAGCTTCGGATGAAGCTTAAGAAGAAGCTTAAGCTTCGGAAACATCTCGGGATTGGACGATACAGATTCCAGACCGTCGGTATGGAATCTGTGATGTGCCTGAAATATCTCCACACAACAAGAACGACCTATCCCGTGTTCCGCATCTGTTTCAGCTGTCAGTGTCTCTCGGCTCTGCATTTTTTGAATACTTCTTTCCTCAATCTAAAGGAATGTCCCCATCCGCAGCCTCATCCCCCCAGGAAGAAACCTCCTTGACGCACCCTGCCGCTTAATACGCCGAACCCCCCCCCCCCCCTGGAATCCCCCTCAGTGTCGCAGCGACGTCGGAAGCGTGGAGGCCGGACGGCGACAGCAGCAATCGACCGAGGCGAGGATAATTGTTCGTCTTTCCCTCAGGGCCTGCTACTAGACTCAGCAGTCATCGTGGTACCGATTTTACCCTTCACGCTTGAACGTAGATGAAGGACTGCGCCCTGGAAAGCGCGTATTTCTACTCATATGCGGCACATGGTTTAAATGCCGATGATACAACTAATCTTATTTGGAGGAAAATGCGGGATGAGGCTTGAAAAAATAAAAAATAAACTATTTTCCGTGACGACTGATTCTGAAACAAGAGTCTTCGAATATAACTTTTCATATTCCTTCTGGAATTCGTAGTCGCAGAGATGTCCTTCGATGAAACCGCCTTTTTGCAGTTGACAGCACGGTTGCATTTCGCATTCCCGGCTCCTCTTCAGGAACGTCTGAGGAGAATCACCTATCTAAAGGAATTTTAAGAATTCGAATAATTAAAAACACCGTATGTTCGTCGATTACTTGGTTCTTCTACAATTACGCACTCTGTAGGTGATTTAATTGCGTTGCGCCCTGTTCCAAAGATTTCGCCGGTTTTTTTTATTATAAATAGGTTGTGGGTTTTTCCACAATTTAATCCGCTTTTACAATTTCCTATGGTTACGGAAACAGCAGTATATTTTCATTACTGTTTTGTCTTGCGATGCGGCTGTCGTGGCAACAGAAATCAAGAAGAGAGTATATGTGCAAACGGATCCTACCGATCATCCAAAGGACTCGTCTTTCCGCTCCAGACCCCGAACGTCATTTCGCTGCCTGAAACCGGAGGATTTGAAAATGATCGCATTTCGCGTCGTTGTCATCGTCTCCATAGCGGCTGCAAGTTTTTTTCGAATTTCGAAACTCAAGGGTAGGAAGTAGTACCGGTTGTTTGTTGTAAATGTTTTTGTTGCTTAAAATTATTGTTTTCATACTTGGGGATGATAAAAATGAGTTAATGAAAAGGGATAATCGAGTTCAGAAGAATCCTACGCCTTCAGAAGACGGCGCAAACGAAGAGAAAAACCCACACAACCCTTATTGCCATACTCACTTCGGCTAGGAAGGCCAGGAGCTAGGCGCACCGACCCGCTTCTGCCTCCACTCGGTGAACCGTGCGTCTCTCCCTCCCCAACCAGCCGCAGGGACATGCCCAACGCCCGACGGGCCTCCCTGCGAGAGGCGAGTCTTGACGGATCGTACCAGTGACTCGGATTGCGATCACGGTCTTCTCTGCTGGATGGGTGTGGAGGTAAGGTCTGCATTATGGCCGGTATGGTTTCATTTAAACGTTTTCAGCGTTTACCCTGCTGATAATTCCAATGAATAAAGAACTTCTATTGAGAACGGTGGCGAAGAACGTGAACTTCATGCTGCATACATACGTGTACCGAGAAGCACCACATGGTGGTCCTAGCTCGGCTTTCGCGATTCTTCCGTACGGCTGGAACATAGCATTACGAAGTCGAAACCTGGCACCGAGAATGAATTACACCCATTGGCGCAGACCTTTCACATGAAAGGTCCGTTTAAGATTCTGAGTCGCTCATGTTATCCTGTGGTTCCTCAAAACTTACAACTTGAGTGTGATTTTGCGACGTAGATACACGAAACTGTCTTGAATGGAACATTGAGAAACTGAATAAAATTAGTGATGAAGCGGTGTGAAGTTTCAATGTCTTTCCTCTGTCTACAACCCTGGCTACTGTCCCTCTTACGACAAAGATCAACATCAATTACACTTATTTTTGTACACTAAGAATCAAATTATTAAGTATCGAAGAGCATATCACTGGAAGGCAACGAGGCGAAGCAGGACTGACGTATTTGCAATCGGATGCAAGCATTCTCCCCTCTCTTGAGTGGCAACCAAGAGAATGGTCCCTCCAATTTTGAATTAATCTATTATTTATACGCCATTCACATCCATCAATGTACCATACGCATCCCGTTTCCTTCTCCTAAGCCTATGGCCTAGAAAGGTATAGTCTTGTAGGCCTCGCTCGTCAGTTCAAGGTAAGAGAGGCCTACGGCCGAATGGCCTGGCGTAAAGCGGGGTTAGTTCGTTCGTGTTCTCTCTGTAGTAATCTTCATGACGGTGAATGACATTTTAAAATTGGTTAACGTTGGCTATTCTAGTTTCGTCAGTACTCTGTGGCGTGTAACGTGAGCCACTAAGGAATTTTCTAG